CATATCTGATGATTCAGCCCATTTTCACCCCATCTTTGGGCCTATCCTGATGGTCACCTACGCGTGTTTGTCGAACACACTGCTTCTGACTGGTCCGTCTACCTTCGTGATACTTTGATCTCTTCAACTGACCCGCCATGCAGTGCTCGTGTCTGTTCGTCTTTTTCTTGTAATACAGTGGAATTGTGCTGAACCAAGTAGATCTTGTCGAATACGTTCGCCACAATCAATGAAGATGCAGCTGCAGAGGTACTTACTCATCACGATCGCCGACGTCCACCGTGACTGACTCCCAGTCAGGCCATGTTCAGAAAGGCCGTGTCAACCATTGAAGGGTTTGGAACCGAATGAGCACGCTAGGCCAGATTTATCTGATCTGTCTACAGCGTCAAAGCCGACTCGCTCTTTTCATACCAACCTCCCATCAACTTGATCGCATTATGTGTTATGTTGCCTGCGAGTTATGTCCTTTCGCCTCGGTGGTTCCACAAGGTGCTACAAATCGTGTATATGATCGTGAAAATCCTGTCTAATCCTCGATTATAGGTCAACGTTTTCATGATCAGGCACGTGGGATATTACAAACGGATGCAGTGGGCTGAACGGCATCTGTGTCTAGGCTGACGAGCTTCCCCGTACTGCTTATGATCGGATTGTATGAACGACAGGCTAAGAAACACGGAACAACCAACATCTACGAGACAATCACAACTGTGCTGGAGCGATTGTTGGAGTCTCTGCCGAGACGCCTCAAGCTTTTGAGTGCGTCCTTGCCACTGTCTCGGACCCTCATCTGAGTTTTGCCAGCCATTCTCGAAGGACTTGCTGGTTCAGACAGCGACATTGATATCGCGAGTTGACTTCCGGGTGTCTATTCGAGCTATCCTGACTATTTACAGGTTTTTGAAATCGAGGATGATCTACTGGAAAGTGCTCTTGCCCGAGGTGAAGTGCCAGTCACCGCTCACCACGTATCGAAACCTCCGCCTTCACCTCCTCACCGACCGCCCACCACGACACCTCCCAATGGCGTGTCCCCTCCCGGTCAGCGGAATCGTGTTGCGTCGCTCTTGCATCGAGGGACCGAGGCTGCACAATCGTTCACTAGTCCGCTCGCTCAGATCTTCCAGCCCCTCGTGATCGATGACGGCGGGATTCCCGAAGACGAGGCGATTTCTCTGGGTCCTCCTGTCACACAATCGCAAGCGCAATCGCATTCCTATCCTAATACTCTCGCACCGCCGCCAGCGGGTGTGAGCTATGGACCGGCTTATCGCCGGAGACTCTCTTCGATGCATGTTCGCGACGCCTCGGGTCGTGCTCAGCTGCAAGCCCATGCTCGACGCTCGTCCGAAACTCCCCGCATGATGTTCCCGCTCTCGGATGACCCGTTCTCTACCAGCCCTGACGAACACTCGCTTTCTGCTAGCCCCGACCATCGCACGCCGTCCACCGGCTCTCTGCCGACGGCCGAGGACGTCGAGGAAAATAAGGACATGCCGATCATGAGGCGGCTGAACGAGATGGATGCCAGACAGAAAAGGATAGAGGAAATGCTGCAGATCCTGGTTCGCAAGTAATTTGACATACATTTACTTTATGTAACAAGAATACACTAAGGATAAATAGCATACACGATTCAGTATCCTCGCCGTCGGGGCCAACCAGAATCCGGTTGACGGGCCTCGCTGCCCCTGGGATGGTAGCCATACTGGCCCTGCTGACCATAATGAGGGGGTGGCGGTGGCGGTGCGGGATACCCAGTTCCCCATTGTGGCTGTGGCTGTGGTGGCTGTGGCACTGGGACTGGAGCTGGGTTGAGGGATGTGTTGGTCAACGTCTGGAGCATGAGGCGGACCTGCTCCGGTGTGAGCGCAGCCACCTCGAACGCCAAAGTAGAGGGTTCCATGATCGCCGGCGGTGGGAAAGCGGGAGGTGCCGGGGTCATGACAGGCGGAGGCATGGGTGGCGGTGTGGCCAGTTTGTTTTTGTTGAGCACCCATATCCCGATCAGGTAGTTGCTCGTTCGAACGGTGGGCAGGCTGAAGTTGTCCAGGACTTCCATAAAGTCCGGAATCGCGTCGCTGGAGAGCAGGGGAACCATGTAGAGCTCTTTCCCCGGGTGGTAGTCCTTCGGGCGGCTTCCCCAAGGAAATACAAGTCCGTGTCGCCTAAGATGGGTTTAGCATGTGTACATCATTCAGATCCACCCCGGTTCGGAGAACGCACCCTTTAGCGATCAAGAAGTCCATCAATGTCTGGAAGCCAGAGTCGCCGTCTTCGGATACGGGTGAGAAAGAGGCGGCGACTAGTTCCTTGGACGAGTTCATTCTGGTCTGCAGAAGAAACTGCGCTGACTTGTCCGTCGGAACCCGGCCGTCGATCCGGAGCAGATCGGTCGGGAACAGCGTTTTCCATAGAAGAGAGTCGTGGTCAATTTGACGGCCACCGATCTGACGCGCAGCCACTCGTGTTTCTTGAGGGATCGTCGAGTCGATGGGCATGCATATCTGCGCAAATGAAACGTTAAGAGATGTAGACTCGTTTGGGCAATGTCGAAGACAGACCTTGCCAGTCCAGACCTGGGGTTTTGCTTCAAATGCAGCCAAGAGAGATTCAGAGGGATCCTTCTCCTCCAAGAACATATCAAAGTCCTTGTCGTCCGGCTCGTTGTCGACTTCCATCGCATCGTCAGTTCGATCGTCGGTCGCTGGAGGTGAAGCTACAGAACCGGTCGGATTTGGTTCCGTCCATAGTGCGTCGAGATCGAAAGAGGGTGTGTTGTTGGCGAAGGGAGAGTTGCCTGTCGGCGACAGCGTCGGCGCAACGACAGCCTCACCCACTATGGATTCGACAGGTGGGTTGGCTGTGGCCTCCACTGGCCCCAATTCATCGTCGATATTGATCAAGTCCGCAAGGTTCATTTCTGGCTCTGCACTCATTTCGTTCGCGTCTGGCCCTAGCGCAGTCTCTGGCGCCTCAGGCATCGACGGCAAATTACGCGGCACATCCATCCAATTCCCAGTTATGGGCGTGATCGGAGACTCCGGAGGCATAGACATCGATGCAGTCCGAACTCGCTGTCGTGCCTCTAGCTCTCTTTGCCGTCTTTCCTCCTGCTCCCGCTGTCTCTCTGCTTCCCGCTCGCGAGACAGAACTACACTGTCCACTTCAATATCCTCCAATCCCTTGTGCGTTATTTTGGCACGCGGCACAAGCGTCTTCTCCAGGATGGAGTGCTCCAGTGCCTCTTTCTCCGCCAACTTGATCGATTCCTTCGTCTGTTCATTCGCTAGATCAGTCGTGGACATCAGAGATATCTCCTTAGGACTAATATCTCCCGATGCTATGCGTCTGTGCAACACCGTACGGTCTTCCTTGCTGAGATTGAACTGCAACATCCGAAAGCGATCCCTGCGCACAAGATTAGCCCATTTACTTTTCGTGACTGGAGACTTGAAACGTACTTGTAACTGGCACCCGCCGACGGTCGGCCTTGCTTATCGAACTCGGAGTAGGTCTCATACAAGCATCGTTCCAGTTCAACAGCGAAAAGCTTAGCCTCTTGCTCGACTTTCGTCTTCTCTTCGTCGTTAAGCTCGTCTGTTGTTTTCTCGACAGCGCCGATGTACGGATAGCGATTGAAGATTGTCTGGAAAACGACTTCTAACTTCTTGAGACAGAATGCGCGCGCGGGATCGTCATTCGCATCAGAGGATGACTCTCGTTTGCGTTTGCTGGGTGGGGCAGCGGTGCTCCTGGGCGCAGCCTTGCGCTTGACACCACTTTTGGGTGCGACTGTCGGAGACCCAGCTTTGCGAATGCGTCTGTGCTTTTTCTCCGTGCCAGAAGCTTCAGATTCGGAGTCCTCAGAGAAAGAAAGTCGTCGCGTTCGGCGCTGGGGGAGCCTACGTCAGACCTACATTGTGTCAGAATGGAAGATGGAACACACCTTGCTCGGCTTGGTTCTCTCTGCAACATACTCGTCCTCGCTGCCCTCGTCCCCTGACTCGTCTGACTGGCGTTCCTCGACCACCAGTGGTGTCACTCTTGGTTTCTTTGCAGTATGTGTCGGTTTGTCCCCACCGACCTCTTCGACGGCCTCAGGGCCTTCCCATAACACTAACAAAAGAGTATCGGGTCAGCTCAGCTAGTCAGATGAGGGGTACTGAGAGAAAAGATATGCGCGTGGCGTAGATCTCCATGAACATCGGAGCACATGTACATAGACCAAAAGACAAGTACTGATTGGAGCGCCGCTAGCAACCGTAGTTTAATTCCACAGGGCCAGCGTGCAAGTGCGACCAGGCCATGGATCGCCTTGTATGCATACATCGTACTTGAGTGAAAGGTGCAGATAATGTGTCGCGGGGCTTTACAATGGAGAGGCAAACGATATACAACTTGACTACACGACAAGGGCGAACGGGGAGGAAATGCCACTCACTGACTGTTCGTAGACCGGTCGTTGAAGCACAAGGGGGGCAGATGTACACATCTAGAAGAACATGAGATAAAAGCTCGCATAGAACCAAGTGAGACATACTGATATCGTTGGCAACCTCTTCACCCAAGTCAACACATGAGAAGTGGTACCTAAAAAAAGATGAGTAAAAGTCAAGATGGGAGGAGAGGTCGCACCATTCATCGCACTCGCTGCAGTTGACCATCGGAGAACCATCGTCGCCTTTTCTGCACAGACAAAAGAGAACGGCCGATTTGACGTGTTTTGATTTTGATTTCGAGGACAGCAGGACAGTCTCGTTTTCTAGCTTCACAGAAGATCTTGTTTTGGTGTCAGATTTAGAGACTGCGGTCTTGATGTTGGACGCCGCCCGGGTCCGCGCGCGTGTGCTCATCGTCGTTGTTGACGATGTCGTCAGAGTCAAGGAGCGTTTCAAAGTCCGATCGGTTGCTCGTGACTATGTGACTAAACAATTGCACACTGAGTCACGTGTAAAGGCCGATCAAGTATCCGAATCTGGTAGCTATTTCGAGGATTCATACTCGTCATGCACTCAATCTCTGATTCCTGTGAACAGAGGAGACTTATCGCGGTTCCGATCTTACAACGAATCTGATCCTCTTTCGGACCGAGTGAGCCATCTATTGTGCATATGCATATGCCGGTTGTTGATGCGAAGCAATCGGTTGATTCTCCGACGTTTTCCGAGGCCTGAATTTCTGCACACCAGCGTGATAAGGTGAGCAAGCTCTGAGATGCGGACGAGCCCTGAGGCGTGTTTTTTGGGGCCTCCAGTGGAGGGCTTTGCGCTCGAAGACGGGTGCGGGCGCATGTACGTGGATAGCCTGCATCATCAAGCGCAATCACAGGCGGAAGCTTCTGCTGCATCGAAATCTGCTTCGTCGTGTTGGATAGGCAATTTGACACACACGTGTTGGATCTGCTGACTGTGCTGACCGAGGGCTGGCCTGCAGCCGGACTGGCGTTATCAGCTCAGTGTTCTGGAGAGGAGACGTTCGGTACATGAGATAGATTGCTGCATCCTGTGGCGGGACCCGTGTGTGCCTTCCTGTCCAAACGGCAGTCGGCATATGCGTCATGGGCTCGTCATGTCTCAGACTGCATTTGTAAATTCCACCAATTTCACTTCTTTATGTCGCGGGTCCTGACTGCAAGTGCCTCCGAGCCCAGTCCAAGCGTATTGGTCAAGCCAGGCTGAATATATTCATATTCAATATCTTGACCGGTCGCGGCCAGGATCACGGATCAAAGCCTCTGTGATCAGCTCCGAGTGGTCGAAGTTCCAATTGGGGAAGCACGGCTGAGGCAGCTTCTTTCCGACAGCCAGTAAGCTGAGCGTTGTGCCGCCTGTCCCGGACCGCGGCGCTGCCAGCTCACCCGTCATTCCTTCATTGAACGCTCACGGGGCCCGGGAATATATTGTCGAGGGTCAGGGAGTGCTCGAATCTGCGGGCCTTCCACTGGTCAGGTCAATCAACCTAGAGCCATCGTTCAGCCCGGTCGGCAGTTCTTTAGAAGAGTTCCACGCGCAAGCTAAACGTCAGTCCAGGCTCCTTGCTGCTCTTCCTGTCTGAGACTCACACGGACCGTCACCCCGCCGCTAATAGAGCCCACTTATCCCAGTTAGTAACACTTTCTCCAAACGGCCTAACGACTCGTCTCCTTCCCATACGTCGCTCCCCAACTGGCCATTTACTTACTGTTATCAACTCATGTCGTCTACAGGCTGATCCGATCGAGTCTCTCTTTGCATACTCGCGCGCCCTCGCCCACCGTTTTCGTTCGTCGGTTGGCCCAGCCTCCCTGTTATGGCAACCACAGTCGTCGCTCCTGTAAACGTCCCGGCGTCTACGTCCAGTCATTACCACATACCCTCTCACCGTACACCGTCCAAATCCTCCGCGACACCCGGAGCATCCTCCTCTCGTTCAACATTCCAAAATCCCAGTGCGACTATCAAGGCTACAGTACCCGAGTCTGCGCCCAAGACTTTCCATCGGATACGTTCGTCTCTCGAGCAGAGCTTGCGCACGGCAACTCGCTCCAAAAAGACGATCCCGACACCGGACGATGATTTCGCAACGCTATCCCCAGGGACGGTCAAGGGTAAGGAGCGCGCGACGGAGGAGAGTAAGGAAAAGGCGAAACCTTTATGGAATTTTCGGCGAACGACCAGGCAGCCTCCCCCTTCTCCATCGCCAAGTCCAGGTCCTGACAGGAGCGATACTGAGCACGGGGAGTACATCTCACCGACCTTACGGCAAGGATCGGTGTCGTCACCAGCGCTGCACATTTACTCTCAGGCGTTGCCCTCCCCCAACTCGCACTCGGCCATCGCGGCTTCTTCGTCGTCGAACAGTGACGCGCTAGTGTCTCCGACTCGCACCAAGCGGCCCAGTCTCCAACCTGTTCAGCGACATCTGAGCGAGTTACCACCGTCAACACCCAGAGTGACACGGCACCGGTCGACCAAGTCAAACCCACTCAATTCCGTAGCGCCACCGGTGTCTCCCCCTCCCACGAGGGTAGTCAGCTCCCCTCAGACACCAAGACGAGCGACTCGTGATTTGCCTGCTTCCCCACCAGATACGCCAACGCCGGCATCAGGATCGCGCGGTCACATCGGACGATCGTCTTCATCTGCAAGCGTGACACATCTGCCATCGCACACCGCTGGTCTGCCAGCCTCTGCATCTCGAGGGACCAGCCCTGTTCCCATCCGTTCACGTTCACCTTCGAGGCGTGTCGTTACTCCATTACGAGGTCTATCATCGCCGTCAGGATCACATCACCTTGCTCCTTCTCCTTCGCCAACAGCTGTACGACGTACTTCCATTGACTCTCCACGTCGGCCGTCGTTCCGGGACGAGTCACCTTCCCCATCACTGATACGTCCACGTGACAGGCCCTCGTCTCAGCAGCGCGGTGCATATAGCCACAGACAGTTCAATGCGTCGACCACGTCTCTAGCTTCTCCATCAAATCCTGAGCACCGAGATCTCATCAGGACAGCGACATCGATGCTTTGCAAAGAGGTCATCAAACCACCACCGCACATGGCAAGAACAGACGCTGGAATGAGAGACTGGCAGGAAGTCGAGGTTCGGGTTCGGGCTCTGTCTCGTTTGGAGCGAATCTGGGGGAAAAGCGGAGTTGGAGGAAGTTCAAGCAACATTACGTTGGGCACGCCGTCTGGGATCAGTGTCGCTGGAGAAGAGCGGGAACGACGACTGTTTACAGAAGCATTGAGAGATGGCTTCGTTCTATGCCAGTGGGTACCGTCGTTTTGGTTCTAAGCTGATATGCTCATCTCCCATGCCAGGTTGATCAATAAACTGCGGTCGAGCTCTGTTGTGCGGCCAGACGTTCGGGATGATGGATTTGTCCGGACATCCAATATCACCAAGTTCTTGGCTGCTTGTTCCTCATATGGTTTGGCAGAGGAGGATCTGTTTCAGCGTGATGACCTCATCGAGGGGACGAGCGAGTCCCTTGCTCGCGTGGCCCACACCATCATCACGCTGATCAAATACGTTGACGCGCCCAGGTTCAGCAACCAAAAGTCCGGTTCTTCGGCAAGCCCCTACGGGCCGGGCAGTTCCAGGGTTGCCCTGTCAACTCCGAATTTGCACTCGACCGCCCCACTAGCTTCACCGGTGAGGCCACGCTGGACTCCACCCGCGGACTTGTCGCATGGCGGCCCGGACGAAAGTTCAGGCGAAGAACACCTCAGCAAGGACGACACAGCGACCTTGAACGCCAAAACCGAATGTGATCGACCGTCGCCGATCGATCGACCCGTCATGAGAGATAAAGAAAGCCCGACCACATTGGCTCTTCCCCCTCGGTCTCCCCTCCGACCTTTGGCGGTCAAGGTCGACGATGATGCACTGCAAGTGAGCCAGTCTGACTCGCGTCAATCCATGCTCTCGACATCGAGCGTCATGACGGAGTCGACGATGATGTCCAGCCTCCTGGACGTCACCCGCCACAGCTACAAGTATGGGACCATCCGGACCGTGACAACCGATATGACCTCTGAAGCACCCAGCATCTCTCGCGCGGAGGGAAGCTCCATTTCGGAGGACTTGGCTCGAAAACGTGTCGACTCTAAATCCTTCCAGCGGGAGGCCAAGATGAGCGAGACTTTCATCGATCTGTCCCGGGTGGAGGAGATGGACGAAGCCGGAACTGCGTCTAGGGGCGTTGGGAAGCAGTGGGAACAGAAGATAGATGGGCAGAAAATAGACAAGGTCCGACTGGGGAAGGGTAAGTGGCCCGATGATTTCATAGATCTGGCACCTCCACCCAAATCCCCCACTTCGTCTGAGCTTCGTTCCCCGTCGCCGTCTGTCCTCTCCTCGTCCGGCCCGCGGAAAATCGCCATCGTTGGTGCTCCTAAGCGCAATGACAGCGCCGAGTCGTTGCCACAATTCCCTCGACGTCCCACCCACCGGGCACGGCACAGCATCGATGTGCCACCTCAAAGCCCGTCCGCGTTGTTACCCAAGGATTCGCTTTTGCGTCGGGATAGTAGTCCGGATGGCATGCCTGCCGGTAGCCGGGTCATCGTACGCCGCCACAGCACCAAGCCCAAGGAGCGCAACGGAGATGCCGACGCGGCCGTTCCATTCCCACGAACTACATCGGGCGAGCACTCAAGCTCACCCCCCGATCGTGCTGCGTCTCCAATCAGCGACAGACCACGACAGCCGCGCGGTCGTTTCCAGAGCGACCTCGAGGCCAGTAGCAAACGACGTAGGCCTCGGCCTAGCTCTTACGACGAATTGGGCGCGCGGCCGTCTCGGTCCAGATTCGAGAGCATGATGAACCTCGGTGGTGCTTCAGGAAACACGAGTGCCAGTGACCTGCTCTCTCGCGACTCGCTCGATGCTGCGACACAGAAAATATTGACTGTTCGGGAAGAGGGCAAGGTCCCGATACATTTCGTGAGTGTTTCTGTGTCTGACGTGTTGATGTCGATGCTGACCTTTCTCCATCCAGCAATTGGCCAACTGTATTGGGCGCGGGCAGTTTGGTTCGGTGTACCGAGCGATGAACCTGAACACTGGGCAGATGGTTGCAGTCAAACGCATCCGACTGGAGGGCTTGAAGGAGGACGAGGTGACGACGTTAATGCGGGAGGTTGATCTGGTGAAACGTCTGTCGCACCCCAGCATTGTTAAATATGAGGGCATGGCTCGAGACCAAGACACGCTGAACATCGTGCTTGAGTAAGATGCTTCATGAACGGTTCGTATCCCATCTAACGCCCTTGCAGATACGTGGAGAACGGATCGCTGGGCCAGACTCTCAAGGCCTTCGGGAAGCTTAACGAGCGGCTGGTCGCCAGCTACGTCGTGAAGATCCTCGAAGGGCTGCATTATCTCCATTCCAGCGACGTCGTCCACTGCGATCTCAAGGCTGCGAACATCCTGACCACCAAGAACGGCAACGTCAAGCTGTCGGACTTTGGAGTGTCCCTCAATCTCCGAGCCATGGAACGCGAGATCAAGGATGTGGCCGGCACCCCGAACTGGATGGCCCCCGAGGTGATCGAACTCAAAGGAGCATCTCCCAAGTCGGACATCTGGTCTCTGGGATGCACAGTCGTGGAGCTGCTGACCGGCCGGCCTCCGTATGCCGAGATCGCCAACAGCATGTCGGTGATGTTTCGGATCGTGGAGGATGATTCGCCGCCTCTGCCCGAGGGGTGCTCGCCCTTGTTGGACGATTTCTTGAGCCAGTGCTTCAACAAAGATCCGACGAAGCGGCCGAGCGCCGAGTTCCTGTGTGAGCATCAATGGCTGAAAAAGAATTGGGCAGGCCACAAGGTATGTTCCCGCTGAATGTAATTAGACCGATATTGATGAATGGTATAGCAGTTGAGACCGCAAGACAGTATTCCGTTCCTTCGTCGGGTCAGTGTCGATCTGCAGAAGTCGGATGCGGTCCGCTTCCTGGCCCAGGTCGACATGAGCGAGTCTCTCGTGGACGCCGAGGGACTGATCAGCAGCTCACCGCCAGGGCGGCGCATCTCGCTCACCTCCCGGCCTATGGACCAAGACATCGTTGCGCGTGACCATTCCTTTGTCAAGACCACTTTCAGCAAACGTGAGTTGGCTTTTGCCCCGTCTGTCCGCGATTTTCTGATGTTGTGGTGCCAGCCATGGTCTGTCGCGTTTGTCTGCAGAATGCCAAGAAGAGCGCCGTCATTTGCGAGCAGTGCAGCTTGATAGCACATGCCCGATGTGCTGTCCATGCTCCTCCGACATGTGACTTGAGGTCACAACTCCTGCTATACGCCCAGTATGCTGAGAAAGGCAACCCGTCCAGCGCCTATGTGAATCCGCTCGAAACTCTCCCTGAGCCTCGCCCAACGCCGATCACGGCAGCTTCCGAGGTCGCTTATGTAGCTCACACTCCTCGGACTAGTCTTGACGGTGTCGCACCTTCTGGCCTGACTCCAGGGGGACCACTTCCGCCGGCGTTCAAGTTCATGGCGGCGTTCAAGCGGTCCCGGTCGAATCTGTCTCCGGAGCCTGGTCACGCTTCCTCCTCCGGCTCTGTTGTGCAGCTGCCCGCCAAAGATGCGAACGGCAAGCGACTGCACAAGCACAGGGAGCGTCCACAGTCCGTAAAGAGCAGCACGAGCACGAACCCGCAGTCCGACAGCCTGCGGAGCGGAGAGAGCATCGGGAGCCGCTCTAATGCCAAGTCGATGGACGAGATCCGCTCTGACGAGATGCAGCGCAAGCGGTCTCGGCTGGGGTCGCGTGTGTCTGAGTCGAGGATCTCCGAGTCTGAGCCTGTTTCTGCAACCACAGCCGGCCACAAGAAACGGTCCGAGTCGCGGTCCGGCTGTGTCATGCAGTAATTTATCCTTGTCTTATCAATCGTTTCGCTTGCATATCTCAATCTCACCTCTGTACCAACAACAGACCATCACCTGACTTTCTTACCCCGTAACATACCTGGCCGATATTGCATACACTGTAGTGTAACTAGTACATACACCCTCGCATACCTCCTATACATACCTCCGTGTCAAGATCAGCTCGGCAATGTCGACAATGACGTCATATCCGATCAAAGTCCTTAAGTTTGCATCTTCCTTATCCGTACGCCATCTCATGCGGAATGCGCTTCTGAACTCCCGACCCCGACCCATCCTACCTGACTTGTCGCATCTGGAACTTTCAAGGCCCTGGGCTGCTTCCTCGCGCGTGGTCTAGTCCCGTCTGTCAAGCGATTCTAACGCACCCGCAAAGAACACGTTTTGCAAACAATGATCTTTACGGTCTAAATCCCCCGGCACCCCCGTCATTATATGTGTTTGGGTATCGCCTCGAGGCTGCTTGCTTGTCCCAGCTCTTTGTTCTGCCAGGTCTACCTATCCGCAATATCTTGTGAATCCGCCGCGATGATCCTCCCCTGGAAACTCCTTGCTCTCGTCGGATTCCTCCTGGTGGCGTCTGAGGGCGGAATGTGCGCCACGGCAAAGCGCGAGACCAACGCGTCCCGGATGCAGCGGGGCCTGCCGCCTCTGCCGCCGAGATTTCCGAGACGCGGAATGGAGGGGCGCGCGACTGGTAGGTGGCCATACTTTCTCTGCTCTACTGTGCTCTACTGTGTGATGGATGCGGGGATCTCTGGCTGATTTTTTCTCAGCGTCATCGACCGTGAGTGCCTCCAGGCCATCCCACACCCCTTAAGGCTAGCACGATCTGTTCGCGCGAGACACGCGAGTTTTTTCCCACTTGTGTCTTTGTGCGATGGTGTTGACACATGATGCAGGAAAAGACACAGCAGGAGGACGATGGTCCGATGGGCGTGTCCTGTAAATAGACGTCGACCACGATGGACGTCACCCACGATAGACTACTCTAATGATGCACGGACTTGTACAGAACCTCGACAAAATTGTTTGATCATCAATTTCCTTATCTGGCGTGGCGCTTCTAGAACGCACACAACTCCCGCAGCCTCTCAGCTTCTTTCCACTTTTCTCACGAGACTCACATGTTGTCTCCCGATCAGAGTGCTTCTTACTCAGGATGCTGTTGCGAGATGATGCACTCCCATGGATAGATAATGAGTTTAAGTATCCAGCCGGTCAGGCCATGAGAGATCCCAATCCGCTCCGCAGCCATGGACCTCAAGGAAGAGAAAACGTCTGAACAGACAGTCGAAGAGCGCTCCTCAGCCAGCTCGGACCACAGCGGCACCCCCGCACCCGTCGCGCTCGAGACGTACCTGTACTACGCCGCGCTGCAGCGCGCCGCCGAAGCAGGGTCCGACGCGAACCCGCACTCGGGGGGCTTCAATTCCTGGCTGAACGGCCGGTCCGCACACAAAGGGCCCAATGCGAACATCGACGCCGCGCCGCACCTCGAGAAGCACCGCGGCATCACGCTGTCTGAGCGCGAGACGGCCTCGCGGGCGCTGCGGCTCGCGTCGTGGTCGTCCGTGTTCTATCTTATCACGACGGATATTCTCGGCCCGTTCAACGCACCGTTTGCTATTTCCCAGGTCGGGTGGGTCCCTGGTGAGTGCGCAATATTGTGTCTTCGCTGTACGACGCGCTGAGTCCTCAGGGATTATACTGTACTTTATCAGTAAGTCGCGAGCTTTTTTATCGGTTATTTGTTTCAAACAACCATCCCAGTGGGTCTGGTCGCGCTCTATACGGGCCTGATCCTCTGGCGCTTGTTCGTGCGCCTCGACTCATTGCGTTATGTACGCGATCTTCATTCGGTGTCATCTGAAACTACCGGACCTGACGTCGCTGCAGCCTGTGCTGAGCTACGCCGATCTTGCGGAGCGTATATTCGGCACCTGGGCGCGACGGGTCTCGCTCGTTCTGCAAAGTCTTCAGCTCGTCGTCTTTGTCGGCATCATCTGTTTGGGGAACGCGCAGGCTCTCACCCAAGTGGCCAAGCACCGTGTTCGTTTGATGTGCGGTTGTAAGGTTGGAGCAGAAGCTGATTGCCTTTCCCAGTTGTGTTTCTCCATCTGCATAGTCATCTGGGCCTTCCTCGGCATGCTTATCGGCCAGATTCGCACACTCAAGGTAGGCCGCTCCCCGCTTATTCCTGTCCCAACATATTTGTTCAGGCTATGAATAGAACTACGGCTGGCTGGCTAATTCAGCCGTGTGGTCAGTGGGAACACTCCCACCGATACTCGGCCGCCTTATTCAGTGTACAGGATCAACCTTTTGATCATCTTCACCAGCATGGGATTTGTGGCTCACAGCCCCCCGAATTTCGCAGCCGCATTGTCGTCCCTCGGGGTCCCCCAAGGCCCAGTTCAGACTCAGACGTTTGCGAAGATTCCGCTGTTCTCTCAGGTGCGTGCGGAGCTCGCTTGGATGGGAGACAATCACCGACCGACTGAGCTTCTCAGGTCAACGGGATCATGAACATGGTATGTCCCACCGCGCCACCATCAAATTAGAACAGGATAGACATTTCCCGCAGGTCTACGCTTATGGGGGTGCCATGATATTCCCGGAAATTATGGCCGAGATGCGGCGTCCGATGGATTTTTGGAAAGGAATGGTAAATGCCACCTTTGCACCGAATTTCAGACCGTGAGTTGACGATGGCAATCAGGTCATGGCCCAATCGTTGATCTTCACGGCTTATCTTATCTATGGGGCCTTCATCTATGTTTGTCGGATCTCCGTTCACCGCCCGACCACGCATTGATCTTGGTTCTTCGTAGTCCCAGCAGGGACAATTCGTGCTGCCGCTAGCTTACCAGGGCGTGAGCAAGTATGCGTGGCAGACAGTGGGGAATGTGATGTCCTTGGTCACGGGCATCATCGCAGGAGGGCTCTACGGCAACATCGGCATCAGTGCGTCGTCTCAGTCGAGAATAACAAGACGATCGTTGACACGTCTTTCCCAGAGGTCGTATATCACAATCTCGTAGAAGATTGGTTCCAAGGCCCCCCCTGATGTCTCACAGAGGGCGCATCATCTGGTCCAGTGAGTCACGGCAACCGCCGTTCAGATCAAAACTAACTAGAGCCAGTCCTTGTCGTGGCTTACTGGGCATTGGGTCGGTGCTTGTTCTGAGGACATCGGGCAACAGATACCTTACCCCCTCTTAGCGTTCGTAATCGGATCGGCGATTCCACAGATTCAGACCATCAACGGACTGGTCGGAGCGATCGGGATCATGCAATTCACGTACACGTTCCCGCCGCTCCTCCGGCTCGGATACGACGTCCTGAGCGATGCCATGGCCGGCGACAAGCCGTACGATCCCGACTCTGGCACCGGCTATCATCGCGTGGACACGTGGAGACAGTGGTCTCGGTGGAGGCGCGGTCTGTTCTCCGGGCACTGGTACTTCAAGCTCTTCAATTTCGTCCTGTTCTTGGCGAGTCTGTCTATGGCAGGTCTCGGTGGGTGACTTTGCATTTACGAAGAATAGGTCTGCTGATTATGTTGACTATCACCCTTTTTACAGGCATGTGGGCTGCGGGCGAGTCGGTGAAAACGACCTTTGCGCTGTCGGGAGCGGCCACTTCATTCGGGTGCAAGTCTCCGGTGTAGATATCTTCAGAATACTACCCAAGAACGATAGCTCTCATACATATGCAATACCATTCTTCACCCCAGTCGCGACAAAATTAGATAGCAGTCCGAACCGCGCGTAAGCTGTCAAAGTCCCGTGATCGTTCCCGCGTCTTACTACCTTCTCCTCCCCATGGCTGACCCCCTGCTGGATTCCAGCTCAGCACTGATATCGAAGAAGAAAAAGAGACGCGACAAACACGGTTCAAAAGACGAGGGACCGGATGCGCTTGAAAAGCAAACGAAGCGCAAACGAGAGACGGTGGATGTAGACGAAACAGACGCTGCTCTTGCAGCCGACAGAAAGCAGAAAAAGAAGAAAAAGCGCGGCGAGCGATCCGATGCGGTAGATGTTGAACGGCTGGAATCATCCTCTGCCACTTTCCCAATCACGCAGCAAGAGGATAAGGAGAAGAGGAAGAAGGAGAAGAAGAGGAAAAGAGACGCAGACGATTCGGCGGCTGTATCGCATTCGGACGTTGTCGTTGGAGAGGAGCATGTCGAGAAGAAGAAGAAGAAGAGTAAGGATAAGAAACGCGACGCGGACGATCCGATGGCTGTATCAATCTCGGACGCTGTCGCACAGGAGAATAACAGAAATGAGGGAGCAATCGGCTCCAGCGCCCCTCAGGTTTCTGCAGAGGTGGTTGAAAACGAGTCTGTCGAGGAGAAGAGGAAGAAGAAGAAGAGGAAACGCGACGCAGAACAAGCGTCTTTGGAAGAAAACACTCTCGCGGGTCCCGATGGAGCAGCCGAGGAAGCTGCTCCGAAGAAAAAGAAGAAATCGAAGGGCAGAGAGACTGAACGGGAGCAGAAAAAGGCAAGCACAGCTGTTCGTTATGCTGATTGGAATAGCCCTACTGACCTCTCCGTCCCGTGTTAGGCCTCGCCGCCACCTCAGAACAGTGTTTCTGCCGTGTTCAATGCGGACTTCGATTCTAACGACGACATATTGCGCGCAATCCAGGGCCTCGACATGACTACCTTCGAGGGCGGCACACCTGAACCCGTTCCGGTAGCTTCCAGCAATCGGTCACGGAAAGCTTCATCATCGTCAAAGCCGAAGCGCGCGAAAGCGGCTGCGTCACAACTGAACCTCAATCACGCAGAGCTATTGGCGACAAAATGGATGACGCCCAAACAGCTGGATGATCTGGCTCAAACGGAGGGTATGCTCATCTCCAGCATGTCATCTTCCGTACTCAGGACGTATTTCCTAGGTCTCGTCTTCAAGAAGGGCAAATTCGCGGCGACAGAGATCAAGCTGCTCAACGATGCGATTGAGAACTACCGAAAGGTCGGGCCACCGTGTATGGCGGTCTGCGCAGCTCATTGACAGCGGCTCAGACGCGAAGCCTAGCGGAATCGGATATCGTGAATCTCGTATTTCCATCGGACGACACGCAGAAAGACCCAACATTCTGGACGGAAATCAGTGCGTCTCCCGGCCTCCTTTGAGTTTCTACATGTGACCTGGAATAAGCATCCGCTCTCGACCAACGGCCAATCCGCGCTGTGTGGAACTATCTGCGACGAGCCCGCAACGACGCCGGCCGACAGGGCAAGTGGAAAGCGGACGAGGACGCCAGACTTATACAGTGCGAGACCAGACTGTTCAGCGGCTACTTCCATGCTCAATCATTGCAGAGCCGTGACGTCGCTGGGACAGCAGTGGGAAAAAGTATCCGAACTGGTCGGTCGCATGGCTGGTGACTGCAGGGACCGATACAGGAACCACATCGTCGATCTGGACAAGCGCGAATATGGCGAGTGATCAGGGACTGCTTCGGCATCGTATTGAGGCTTTGCTAGGCACATGGAGCGCCGAAGACGAAGCAGAGCTCACGAAGATCGTACGAGAGATGCATCAGGGCCAGGATCTGGACAACGACATTCTCTGGACGCGGGTTGCAGAAAGAATGGGCGGCAAACGGAGTCGGACGCAGTGCCGAGCGAAATGGATGGATTCGCTCAACAGGAAGAATAAAGGCAACCACGACACTCGCTGGAGCCGATTGGACACATATATTCTTGTCCACAAGTCGGTCATCCAATTAGCAGCTGCCTTGCTATGTTCTGATCGGCCCGCAGAGTTGCCAACCTGCAGGTGGAAGATGACACCGAAGTCGATTGGAAGACGCTCCCCGATCCGACGTGGAATTTCTGGAGCGCACATCTTCTGCAGAGGCGATGGAAGGGACTGAAAGAAGGCATCAAGGGAGGCGATCGCTTGTCACACACAGGTCACAACCATTTCACTGTTGGCTGGATGATGAGATGACCTATTCCGCAGAGATCGTCGACTTGCTCGTCAAGAAATACCCCCAAAAACCGCAAGTAAATGCTGCAAAGAGCGCAGACTGCGTGGTCGATAGTGATAATGATGAAAGCTAGAACTCAGTCTAGAACTGCGTAGAAGACTGAAGTGCAGACTGCTTACTATGCAGGGCGTAAGCACACATCACGTAAGCAGATCACAAACAAAATCGGTGCCTTCCAGTACGGTACGTGCCGCATTACTTATTGAGACACGTATGTACTACGGCTGCGTTGCAACTTACCAAGGGCCCCCATTTTCTGGACACAGTCTGACTGTAAATGACGCACCTCCTCGATACGGCTTACGCATCTCTCGCGACGGACTGCTTTGATTGGATTGTTGCGCGGCATGACACCAAAAAGAGAAGATGAAGCGAGCACGTTGATCTATTCACTCGGTGGGACAAATCGTCCAGATCGGAATGCACGGTATATAAGATAGCTGCCTCCCGAGGGGTCTCAAAACAATTACTCCCCCTCTCAACAATCTCTACGCAATGTCTGCTCTCTTCACCCCGCTCAAGCTCGGCAGCATCGAGATCGCCAATCGCATCGGGATGAGCGCCCTTACGCGTGACCGTGCCACCGGGACCGTCCCCAACGATCTTATGCTCGAGTACTACGTCCAGCGCGCTAAAGGCGGTGCCGGGCTTATTGTGACGGAGGGCGTGCTCATTACCCCCCAAGGGTATGTGCTATAGATCCTTCGCAATCGACTACACACGTGCCGACGCGCGCCTTGCAGCACTGAATGGCCCGAGGCCCCTGGCATCTACAACGACGAGCAGGTCGTCGCGTGGAAGAAGATCACCGACGCCGTGCACGCAGTTGGGACCAAGATCTACGCCCAGATCTGGCACCGTGCGTCGATCGCACCGCTCCACATCCTGCAGACTCATCGTATGTTTTAGTGGGACGTGTCAGCCACCCCGACGCCCCTCTCCAGAAGGCCGCCGGTGTTGTAAGTGGCATGTGAATCTCAATGATTTATCGCCGCTGACGGGATTATTCTTAGCCTGTGTACGCTCCGTCCGCTATCTCTGCCCGAGGAGGCAAGTTCCGCCACCTGCCTGGAGAGCCTGGCTATGTTACCGTCCGTTGGCTTCAAGTTCATCGTGCGCACAGATGTTGACCCCTTGCACAGCCCACGGAAATTCCCGATCCCGCTACTCTCACTGCGCTGTACAAGGCCGCAGCCGTGAACGCCAAGAAGGCTGGGTTCGACGGCGTCGAGCTGCACGGCGCAAACGGCTACCTCGTGCACCAGTTCATCGACCCGAGCGCCAACCAGCGAACCGACAAATACGGCGGGAGCATCGAGAACCGGTGCCGGTTCGCCATCGAGACTCTCAAGGAGCTCATCGAGGTGTACGGTCCCGACGTTGCCATCAAGCTGAGCCCTGCAGGAGGATACAACGACATGGGATTCGATCTGCAGGAGACGATCGCCACGTACAAGTACCTGCTCACCGAGATCGACACGCTGGGGCTCTCCTACATTGCGCTGATGCGGTACAGCCCGATGCTTGACATTGAGATTGATGGTGCGCACGCTCATTTCCTTAATGGATACGATGGGCCGGATGCTGACGGCGGCGACCAGGCAAGAAGCGCGCGACTGTGCACGACACCCCGGCCACCTACCTTCCCTTCATCTCGAAGACCAAAGTCTTCCTCAACGCCGGAATCACCCCCGCCGAAGCCGAGGAGTACGTCTCGAGCGGTAAAGTCGCCGGTGTCTTCTTTGGGTTCGCCTGGGTCACCCACCCGGATGTGGGCAACCGCATTCGCAAGGGCATCGCTCTCGACAATGCCCCCGACTTTGCCACGCTGTACGGTAGCTCCCTTCCCGACAAGGTGAAGGGCTACACCGACTACCCGGCCGCTGCTTAGATGTGCTCATTACATGTACCTGAATGCAAGTTATACGTGTGTAGAATATCAAACAATCAAAGACTTTGGATTTATGCTCGCGACATTTCACTGGGACGTTCTGCCCTCCATCTCTGCCGGCAGGGATTGTGGGTCATATCCGGGACAAAGCACGCCACTTGATCTCAACATGACTTCGCGTTTGACGACATCATCCGTTCTTCCCCTAATTACCTCGCGCGCAACCTGCCTCCGCCGTGCGCATTCGCAGAGCCGGTTCACTCTACCACCGACCATCCGTCAAATCCTCTCCTCGTCGCGCGTAGATGAGCCGGTGACCGTCAACGCCTGGGTCAAGTCGATCAGAAAACAAAAACGCATCGCGTTCGGGGTCCTGAGCGACGGGAGCTCCGCCGCCGGGCTGCAGGCCGTGTTCCCGAACGAGCAGCTGGGGGAACACGTCAAGGAGTATGTGGTCCGTCGTGCTGTGCGGGCACTCGCTCAACGCCCGACAGGATCACTAATGGAACCGCGGTACGTGTGCGCGGGACGATAGTCGAGAGCCCCGGTGCAGGGCAGGACAGGGAGCTGCGGGTCGAGGATGTGGAGATCCTGGGGGCGTGTGATGCCGAGGTGCGTTCTGACCGACGCGCGCTACTGCTGTTACTTGCCTGACTCACGCAATCATGGGAAGACATATCCTATACAGAAGAAGTTTCTGTCTCCCGAATATCTACGCGATAACACGCATTTCCGAGCGCGGACGGATGGTATCGCGGCCATGCTCAGACTACGGGGCGCGTTACAGCGCGGTATCGCGGCGTACTTCGAGGTGCGGGACAGCTGCCCTGGGCGTCAGCCCTCAAACTGACATCTACTACACAGAATCAAGACTTCACAAGCACGCATACGCCCATCTTGACCACGGGCGACGCCGAAGGCGGCGGCGAGGCCTTCCGCCTGGCACCTCTCGAAGCCGAGGCTACGTCCGCCGACAAAACACGGACCGAGGCCGACCGCGAGTTCTTTTCGCGGCCGGCGTACCTCACGGTCTCACATCAGTTGCACCTGGAGGCGCTGTGCCACAGTATGTCGCGCGTGTACAACCTGGGCCCCTGCTTCCGCGCGGAAAGCGGCGTGACGCGCCGGCACCTGGCCGAGTTCTGGATGCTGGAGGCGGAGTGGAACGTGCTCCCGGTGGCGGATCCTCGAGACCAGACCGGCGCGCTGTGTGATTTCGTGGAGGGCTTGGTGAAGGGCGTGGTTGGCGACGGGGGCATTGTGCACTCTGAAGACGTGGACTTGCTATGGAGGCATCACGAGCGGGATGCGGCTGAACACGCCCAGCAACGGGCAGCGTTAGTTCAGTGCGTGACGACGGAGAAACCCTGGACACGGATGACCTACACTGATGCGATTCGGGAGCTGCTCAGGGCTGATCGGCAGTGGACGTTCCCCGTCCAGTGGGGCCTCTCGCTGCAGAGCGAGCACGAGAAATGGCTGTGCGAGACGCTCGTGGGCGGGCCTCTGTTCGTGACGGATTACCCGGCGGACATCAAAGCGTTCTATATGAAAGCTAATCCTGCTCTGGTGGGCGAGTACGGCCCGACGGTTGGGTGCTTTGACCTGTTGATGCCGCACGTGGGTGAGTTGGCGGGTGGCAGTGTTCGCGAGGACCACATCGAGCGCCTGCGGGCCAGCATGGCCAGCAAGGGCATGAGTTTGGACGGCGAACGGTACGGATGGTACGGACAGCTCAGACAGTACGGCGGGTCGCCCCACGTGGGCTTCGGGATGGGATTCGAGCGACTGGTTAGCTGGATCAGCGGGGTCGAAAATGTGCGGGAATGCATTCCGATGCCTCGCTGGTCAGGAAGGATGATTTTATAATAGCAGATAAATGACAGCAGACATGAAAACTACAAAGATACACAGCTAGACTAGATCGAAAAACTTCTAAACGCTGCTAAACGCTGCTCATTTCCACGGGCAGTTGGCTGTAACCATACTCATCCCTGCGGTTGGGGCGGCCCAGCGAGCGGACGCTGCTCCAGACGTCGCCGACGGCAGTGCGGACAGTGGCGAAGATGTTCGAGGAGAACTCGGCGTCGGACCCAGGCATGATGCTGTCCGCAGGGCGTTTCCACCATTTCAAGGTCAGGGAACTGGTGACGACGCTCACACTGGAGAACGCCATCGCCGCACCAGCCAACATCGGATGCATGTACAGCCCCAGCGGGAGGAAGAAGCCCATGGCAAGCGGGATGCCGAGCAGGTTGTAGATGCACGCCCAGACGAGATTGCGCTTGATGACAGAGAAGATGCTCCGGGAAAGATGCAGGGCAGCGACAACGTCGAGCAGGTCTCCGCGCATGAGGACGATGTCGGCAGCCTCGATGGCAACGGACGTGCCGGATGCGAGGGCGATGCCGACGGTGGCAGCGACGAGCGCAGGCGAGTCGTTGATGCCGTCTCCGACCATGGCGACTCCCTGCTGGTGCTTCTCCATCAGCTCGGTCACCATCGACGCTTTGCCCTTGGGGCTCATGCCAGCCCAGACACCGTCCGCGGGAATGCCGACCTGCTTCGCGATCGCCAGGGCCGTGGTCTTGCTGTCGCCGGTCATCATGTTCACCTCGATGCCCATGCGCTGCAGTGCTCGAATCGCATACTTGCTCGACGGCTTCGGTGCATCGGAAAGCGATACGGCCAGGATCGGCAGGGGCTGGGACGACGTGGCCTTGAGCAACGACGCGTAGATGACCGTGCGCCCGAGGGTCGTTTCCTGGGCTTCGTAAGCAGACAGCGTCGACGGGACGTATCCATCCTCAGACTGGGTGATGAACCTCGCAGTGCCAACGAACAAGGTGTACTTGGACCCCGCGTAGGTGATGATCGCGCGCAGGCCAGACCCAGTCACGCTCTCGAAACTCTCCATGCTCGTCTTATCTTCCGTGTCCCGCAGAAGCTCCTTGCCATAAGCAGCGATCGCAGTGGCCAGCGGATGCTCCGACTTGGCTTCAGCAGCAGTCACCATCGACAGCGCCGCAAGCCGCGTCGTCACATTGTCGGCGCACAGAGCATCCAGTCCGGTGTCGTTTCCAAATGGCCCCTCAGAAGACGAGTGCGCAGGAACCCAGTGCAATCCAACAACGCTCATCTTCCCGACGGTGACAGTCCCGGTTTTGTCAACCACGACACGGCGGATGCTCCTGCTGGCTTCAAGCGCTCTGCCACCTTTGATGAGGATGCCGTTCTTGGCGCCCATGCCAGTGCCGACCATGATGGCTGTCGGCGTGCTGAGCCCGAGCGCACAGGGACACGCGACAACCACAACGCTGATGCACATCTGCACGCAGACAGCCAGCTTGCTCGTGCCGTGCTTGAGGAACATCGACGGCAGATCCTCGTCGCTCACAAACGTCGAGATGAGCAGCCACGCAATCAGAGTCACCACCGCGAGCGAGATCACACCAGGCACGAAATATCCGGCGACCTTGTCTGCGAACGCTTGGATCGGCGCCTTTGACGTCTGCGCATCCTCCACGAGCTTGACGATCTGCGAGAGCGCCGTGTCCTTGCCAGCTCGTGTCACTATCATATCGAACGTCCCCAACCCGTTCACAGTTCCGCCGATAACACTGTCTCCCGCCTGCTTCAACACTGGAATCGGCTCCCCGGTGATCGCACTTTCGTCCACGCTCGAAGAACCTTTGATGACCGTGCCGTCAGCGGGAACTTTGTCGCCCGGAACCAATTTCACGGTGTCCCCAACCTCAACAAGCTCAGTGGCGATCTTCTTCTCCTGGGTGCATGCTGGCGCATCCGTGTAGATAGTGGCCATAGACGGCGTCAGAGCCATCAGGTCGGTCAGCGCGGCGCTCGTCTTGCCCTTGGCCTTGTTCTCCAGGTAGCGACCGAGGGAGATGAAGGTGAGCAGCATCGTGCTGGTGTCGAAGAACAGAGCAGGCCGGTAGCCGGGCGTTGTGTTGAACATGGCCAGGAACATGAATATAAATGAATAGGCGTATGCAGCGGTCGTCCCCAGCATCACCAGTACATCCATCGTAGCTGCTCTGTGCTTGATCGCCTTCCAGGCGCTCTTGTAGAAGCTAGCCCCGATCCAAAATTGCGCCGGAGTCGTCAGGCAGAACACCAACACATCTCCGAGATAGATACCATTCACCAGCTCTGAGTGTAGCAGAGTGCGGATCCCGGGGATGTGCGGCCCCACCATAGAAATGAAAAACACGGGGATAGCAAAGCACAGACTCCATAGCACGCGCGATCGCCACACAAGAATTTCCTTGGTTCTCGTCAAAGAGGCGATCTGTGTCGAGTCACCCTGGTCTGCGAGCATGGCGTCGAAACCCATATCCTCTATTCTCTCGACCATTTCGCGGGGCCCGATAAGCGCTCGGTCGAATTCGATCGTGCACGTCTCCGTTGCAAGGGACACGGCAACGCTCTGGATACCGGGCACCGATGCTAATCCTGCTTCGACAGTTGATGTGCACGACCCGCAGGTCATACCGAAAACCCGCAGATTCACTTTGTCAGACCGGGAGGTCGGGATGAGTGTCGCGTCAAAGCCAATGTCGGAAATTTCCTACGCAGACGGTCAGCCATGCGGCACACGACATGAGCTCAAGGAGCAGGACGCACATTGACGATTTTCTCCACGGTCCACAGCTTGGGATCGTATTCCACCACTCCCCGCTCGGCTAGAAGTGCGACCTTGATGGACACGATACCGGGCTGCTCGCGGAGCATGCCCTCGATAGACTAGTGCGCACTCCGTTGATTGCCCGCACGACAAAAGGACGCACAAAGGACTCACCTCTACACATGCCCCGCACGTCATCCCCTCAATGCGCAGATCGCACTTCTCCACACCCATAGAGGGCCCGTCCAGTTCCTTGCCCATGAGCGAAGCAGATTCGGCTGAGTCCGGAGGTAGTTCGATACCCCTGCTTTTGAAGGTCGAGCTGAGAGGCGTGTTGGTCCAAAGTTCGTTCAGGAACTTGGCCATGTCCGGAGTTTATATGCGTATATATATATCTGAGGTTGTGAAGAGTAGGTAAAGGTGGGAGAGCCGAGAGCGCGCGATGGAGGTTCTTACTTGATGATGATGAATAAGGCCGACTGACGGAAAGCTGATTAAGATGATGGAGAAGCGGACAGATGCAGGTGATAGCGCCGGCGCAGTCGTTCAGAAGAGAAGTTCAAAGGGAGAAAAGAAAGTCGAAGAGTGGGATTAGGAGAGAGGGTAGGACCCTGTGGGATTTAAATGTGGTAGTCGCAAGCAACCTTCTTTCCCGCTAAGCAACCCATCACTTGATTAGAAAGGTCGCATCCGGGGGCTCGTGACTTCTTACCACCATCATCTCCCTCGGGTGATGACGGATGGTAAAGGAAATACGAGGCTCCCCACGCCGCAGCGGGCGGTGGGGACTCAGCGCGAGTACCAGCCGAGACTAAAGGCACCTCGAAGTGAGGATGGGTTGGGATTACCCGGAAGTGCAGTGTGCACAGTACGCAGTACGGCGACTTCGTAGAGGTCAATAGGAATATGAATCGTTTCACTACACCCTACAGCCTGAATGGCTCGCACACCAATCTCCCCCTTAATCCCTCATCCCTCCTCCCCGACCAAGCCCTCATCGACGCTGACACGAACGCCGCACTGTCAACACTACGGCGCCACGTCACGCACTTACGACACAACACGGGAACGGCAAACCAGTGGGGGACTGCGGCCAAAGACGCCATTGCGGAGGTATGAGCACCATGCGGGATGATACGCCGCTACCCGGCGACGCTACTGGCGACGCGCCACTCCACACCACGAGACACCCGCCGACCTCGCTTATACCTCTCCGCTCAACGCGCTCGACCGAAATACTCTCTAAGACGAATCTCGACGACAACTTTTGACGACACCTCTCGACGGCAACACTTGCAGAGCTACCACGACATCCCGAGGCTCACACGAACAGCAACCTCACATTCGACAATCTTCGATCTCTACTGTCGAGCGCCCGACCACCTGGGTCTGGGCCCAGAAGAAGACGCGACGAGGACCGCGCAACCCGAACCCGCCACATCTACCGACTGTTCTATTTGGGAGCAGGACGGGAAACGGGGGAGGGAACGCGTTGTAGGATGAGGTCGATCCCTCGTCTGATAACGCCGCAACAGCGCGACCTATTTAGGTCGGGGTGCGCTGGCCAGCAGTCCTGGCATGTCGGGGGAGATGAATGCGATGCGTGCCCAAGACACGGTTGGCGCTCCCCCGACAACCCCAAAGGTGAGACTTCACAGCGCCGATCTTAGCGGGAAACGCGCTGTGTCTCTTTGGCTGGCTACTGAAAATCTACAACAACCATCGCAAGCTCAGCGAAACGAGCAACCGGAAGATTCGACAAACACACCGGCACAGGCAACGGCAGCTGGAGGGCGGCAGGACTCCGCCACCGGTCCAGCCAGTTCCGACGAAGGTGACCGTGGAGGAGGGGACTTGGCAAACCACTGCCCGGAGGCAACCCGGGACAATGGCCAACCTCCACAAGGGGAAGGACAGATGTCCCGAGGAACCGATGATGGGCCCTGGGACGCAACTCCGACTGCAGCGAGCAGATCGGGGGGCACAAGTGGATGTGCTGATGCGCAGAGCGCGCAGGGAACTGGGCAACAGTTACCCAGCCCAGACGACAGGGCCAGTCATGCGCAGAGAGCGCAGGGAGCTGAGAGACAGCTACCCCCCCAAGAAGAAAGGGAAGCTGAGGACACAGTGCGTGGACCAGGGGGCACTATTGCTAGTGCTAACGCGCAGAACGCGCATGGGTCTCAGAGCGAAACACCATCCCAAGACCAAGGGACCGCTGAAGGCGGAAATGTCAGAGAGACGCAAGGACAGTGCCCCGCTACATACCATAATGGTGAAACGCCAATAAGGAACCAATCTACCCTGCCTCCCACACACCCAAGCGCAGAGCGACCGCGAAACGGACAGAGTGCTGTGAGAAAGAAGATGAAGACAGCGCTGAAAGTTGCTGGTCTCAACATACGAGGCCACGGGAACCTGAATGTGCACCATCCCGACAACAAATGGCTTGGGATATGGCAGATCCTCAGGGAGCAGAAAATCGCAGTACTAGTTGTGGGTGAGGCGCACATGAACCAAGAGCGCAAAGATAATGTAAGCAAGATATTTGGCCGTAAGTTGCGAATTGAGTTCACAGAGAACCCGCGGTCACCCAACGCGGCTGGGCTGGCGTTCGTCATCAACAAGAACCTTGCAAGAGTGGACACAATAGAATCACTCACTGTAGTACCAGGACGGGCTATGATACTGAAGATACAACAGGCAGATGGAAGCCCGCTATCTATCCTCGGAGTATATGCACCCAATAACCCCGCCGAAAACAGGCAATTCTGGGAAGATATCGATAAATTCTTCGAAGACAACCCAAGGACTGGAAGACCAGACCTCATGGTGGGCGACACCAATATAGTCGAGGCGGCGATTGATAGACTTCCAGCTCACGAGGACGATAAGAACGCGGTAGATGCTCTAGATGAGCTCAAGTCAAAATTTACACTTGTTGATGGATGGCGCGCAACGTACCCCGATACAAGGAACTATACCTTCAGGCAACCACATGCGCTTGGCGGAGCCCTGTCACGTATAGACAGGATATACGTAAAGACTGCTAGCTTTGAGAACACCTTCGACTGGGGAATACAACGTATAGGCATCGAGACAGATCACGACCTTGTCTGGGCCAAAATCACAACGGCGGACGCCCCAACAGTTGGCAAAGGACGATGGGTCTGGCCAGCACACATAATGAAAGACAGAAACCTTGCAGAGTTCATACTTCAATCTGGCCTTGAGCTCAGTGCAGCACTGGAAGAGTTGAAGAATAACAACAACCGGACTGTGGAAAACAACGCCCAAACCCTGTGGACAAACTTCAAGACAAAAATTGGTGTCCGAGCGCGTGAACGTACTAAAGAGACAGCCCCCAAAATCATCAAGGAAATAGCTGAACTGGAGCTCAAGCTGGCAAACGTCTCTAGAGATAAAGTAATGTCAGAAGAAGAGAGACACCTCAATACAGCGATGATCATTGATCAAATTGCCAAACTCCAGAAACAGCGCTACAAGTCGAACAGGCTTACAGCACAGATCCAAAATAGGCTACACGGCGAGATAATTGGCAGATACTGGACCAAGATCAACAAGCCAAGTAAGCCAAGGGACACGATCCATAGGCTCAAAAAACCAGCCCCCCCAGGAGTCACAGACGCTCCAGTAGAGTACGAAACAAACTCAAAGAGAATGGCAAACATGACACAGGAGTATCATGACCACCTTCAAGGAGACCGCCGAGATACCAGTGAGCAAGAACGCGAGGCCAAGATTGAGAGAGTCCTAGCCAGGACACAGATACATATAACGGATGAACAGAATGAGAAGCTTAAAGCAAAGATGACGCTGGAAGACGTCTCCCAGGCGCTAAAATCCTCCGCTAACTTCAAAGCGCCCGGGCTGGATGGCATTCCGTACGAGCTATGGAAAGTACTCAGTGACAGACACGTGACAGCTGTCAAAACTGACAAGCCAACATTCGATGTATTAAGTGCGCTCCTGGCAGTATACAATGATATAGAGGACCACGGAATTGTCATAGGTACCCGGTTTGCTGAAAGCTGGATGTGTCCATTGTATAAGAAAAACGATAAATCAGACATCGCAAACTACAGGCCAATCTCGCTGCTTAATTCAGACTACAAAATCTTCACAAAAGCACTATCAATAAAGCTTGCAGAGGTTGCACCACATCTTATACATCCCAGCCAAGCTGGATTCGTCAAGGGTCGACAAATTAAAGACCAAATCTGGCTCACAAAACGAGTTATAGAAATGGCAGAGGCCACCGAGAGGAATGGCGTCATTGTAGCTCTTGACCAAGAGAAAGCGTATGATAAGATCGAACATGGCTACCTTTGGAAGGCCCTCAAAAGCTACAGAATCCCCGATGAATTTGTGAACACTGTCAGAGCGTTATACAACGATGCACACACCTTTGTGATCCTGAATGGAGAGAAGAGCAGTCAGCCCTTCAAAGTGACAAGAGGCGTACGGCAAGGGGACCCACTGTCCTGCCTCCTCTTCAACCTGGCAATAGAACCACTGGCGGAGTCGCTACGCCAATCAAATCTGAAAGGTATCAAGATTCGAGGGAAAACTGAAAGACTGATTGCAACACTGTTTGCTGACGATACAGTTGTATACCTGGATGAGCAAGACGATTTCGGTGCCCTCCTGGATGTCATAGACGAATGGTGCATTGCCTCTGGTGCACGCTTCAATATAAATAAAACAGAGATGATCCCCATTGGCACACTGGAGCACCGAGACCGTGTGCGTGCCAGCCACTTTGTAAATGGGATAGATGGGACAATGATCCCAGACCACGTTAAAATCGCAAAGGAAGGAGAGCCGGTTCGATGCCTCGGCGCATGGATAGGTAATAAAGTGGATGAAGTTGCAGTATGGGCACGCACATTAGAGAAGATTGACGAAACGCTAGACAGATGGGAGCAGGGCAACCCGTCAATGGCAGGCAGGAGACTAATTGTGCTGATGGTAGTAGGCGGGATGACCCAATACCTCGCCACGGTGCAAGGCATGCCAAAAGTAATTGAAGAGAGACTCGAAAAACGAGTCCGAAAATTCATCTGGGCCGAGAAAGACAAGGTCACAATTAACCGAGAGACAGTATACGCTCCAGCCGAGATGGGCGGGAGAGACCTGCTAGACATCGTAGCCAGGAACGAAGCCATTGCCATTATGTGGCTGAAGACGTACCTGAGCATCGGCGACGAGAGACCACTCTGGTGCTTTGTTGCAGATGAGATCCTTGCAAACAAGATGGCGTCCGACGGAAGCAATGTTGAACTCTCAGTGAGACTGAACTCGTATCTTCAAGACTGGAAGCATAAAGTGTCAGCCAAAGAGATTGGAAAGGATCTTGCCAAGATGACTAGCGTCGGGAAAAAGCACGGTGTAACAGCAGACGCAATAGCCGTGTCGCGAGAGATACAGGGCCAGATGATAATCTGGCACCACACAAAATCGAACGCAGAACATGGAATGTGGAAATACAAGAAAGATACTATCAAGTGCCTCAAGGAGAAACATAAAATGAAGACTGTCAAAGATGCAGTCCAGCTCGAACGGAAGATGCGGACTAACCGTCATGTCGCCTCGAAGCGATGCAGGTGCAATGCGTGTACCGAAGTCAGAGAATCCACCGGATGTACCAGCCCACATGTATGCTACAGGAAGGCCGGTGAGATGCTGGACACCCTAGACCCCAAATGGGACCCTAGAAAAACCCAACCCGAAGACTATGAACACAGGATGACGCCCGAAGTGATCAACGTAAATGGCATTGAGACGCGAGATATAGACCAACGCATAACAACGACAGGCTCGGTGGGCGATATCTTCAGAGTCTTTACGGACAACGAGAGGAACATGGATGCCGCAGCGCCAAATCTAGAACCAGCTACATCAATTGAGGAAGAAACTACCGAACTGATGACCTACACAGACGGCTCTGCAACGAACAATGGCCGCGAAGGAGCTGAAGCCGGTGCGGGAATATACTTCAATGATAACGATAACATGAATAGGGCGATTAAGATCCCCAACGAGTTCGGCCCATCCAACCAGGTAGCAGAGATGCTCGCAGTGAAGGAAACGATTGACCTGTGCCCGCCCGGGCTCCCGCTACACATCAAAACGGACTCGATGTACACGATAAAAGGACTCACCCAAAGCATTCGGAAATGGGAAGACCAAGGATTCTTCCTCACCGCAAACGGAGACCTAGCAAAACTGACAATCACTAAGATAAGAGGAAGATGTGCACGAACAAGACTCACCTGGGTTAAAGGACATGCTGGGACGCATGGTAACGAGCAAGCAGACCGTCTAGCAGACGAAGGCCGCCGGAAGAATGCTCCGGATATCATCGATACACGAATCAATGAGTCCCTTGTCCTTCCAGGAGCAAAGCTGAAGGCAATGACGCAATCGCTGGCATATAAGATCATCAGGATATCCAAAATGAGAGAGGACCGATACCAGGATGCTCTAGACCGGAAAGCAACCACCCGTAATATTGAACTGGCAAAAGAAGCAACGGTACTCCTGGAACCAGAGCCAAGAGGCGCAGCAACCACTGCACAAATATGGTTATCAACGAGACACCAAGACTTCTCCCGAAGCGTCAGATATTTCCTGTGGATGCTAATACATGACGGCTATAAAGTTGGAGACCACTGGCGTAAGATACCAGGCCACGAAGAGAAGGCGTACTGCAAGCACTGCGGAGAGGAGGTGATCGAGAACATGGAACACATCCTGCTCAGATGCGAGGCCGCCGGCCAGAGCCAGATATGGGATCTTGCGAACGTGATATGGAAGAAGAAAACGGGGCTGCATCTCGAGCTGAACATCGGAAAGATAATGGCGTGTGGAGCAGTTACCCTAGGCAACGCAAGCCTGTCGCGGCTCTTCAGAATAGTGGTGTCAGAGTCGGCGCACATGATATGGAGATTAAGGTGCGAACGAGTAATCCAGGAGAAGGATGAGGCCTCCAGACGCGAAATCCAAAACAGGTGGCTACGCGCCATAAACACACGACTGCTCATCGATTGCGTGATGACGAACACTGCCAGATACGGGCCAAAAGCAATCAAACCTTCCCTGGTCAGGAAGACGTGGACAAAGACGATACAAAACGAGGAGCATCTCCCAGACGATTGGACCAAGGGAGGCGGGGTTTTAGTGGGTGTCGGCTAACGGTAAGGAAGGAGTCGCCAGGCGACTCCCGAACCGAAGCCGAAGCCCCACACACGGCACCGCGAGAATTCGGGTGTATCGTGCGGGTAACTCCGGTTACTAAGCGCATTTCCCCGTGTGGTAAACTCCTCTACTTGGCTAGGTCCCAATGCCTTGGCCGCAAACGACGGGTAAGAGTAAAAGACTATGTCCGGAACTCGAACCTTTGAACGTCCCACCAAAAAAAAAAAGAAAGGTCGCATCCTAAGACACAGCCACGAGAATCAGGTCACTTGCCAAGTGCGCTTGCTGGGGTCATCCAGGCTTTCATCGAGTGATGTATGTACATTAGACCTGCTGTAATCAATGTACAGAAATGTTCTAAACCACCAGGTATCCATCGGTTATGACAATCGAGTCGACGGAGAATGGAGGCTCAGAGTCATCTTCGAACGACTTGATACTGGCGATCGCTACACCGGCTAGACTCCCCTGCGACGGAAATCAGACCGTGACAGCAGGCAGTTAGAATATCACCCACTTTTCCGACGAAGCCGACCCGCACGGGGAAAAACGCTTCTGGGTCGTCCCCAGCGACAGTGAACATCAGCGACCCGGATTGAGCATCGGCCGAAACAACAGGTGTCGACCACAACAGAGAATGGGATCCAGGATCCAACGACCATTCACCAGAGTGCGAAGATACGGTCGGATACGAGCCCGCCCTGTTTCACGTCATGTCCGCCCGTAGTCAGCAGAATCACAAGACACTCACGGGAGCGGGATGTAAATGTCCAGATCATAGAGAGTCACGTTCTCGTTTTCCAGCTCATACTCAATGCTGATTTCGCACGTGCCATCGTTAGACGTTGTCGGCCAACAGTTAACTGGCAAGATCATCAGTCCCTCTAGCCGGGGACATCGTTTAAAGCTTACTGGATATCGGCACTGCTCCTTCGTCGCTCGTTTTGGCACGCCACTTGACGACCGGTAGGTTCTGACCAGTAGGGAAAGGGCGGCTAGTGTCCTTCATCTTGATCTCCTTTGGCTTGGAAACGCCAGCTTTCAAGTCGAACTTGGCCGTGGACGGGTGCTGCTTGTACTGCAGACCAGCACCAAGAATATTGGATTCGTCAATAGGCACGAGTGCGATCAGGAGACGAGTGTTGGATTCATCGCTGATGAACAAGTTCATGTCGCCCTTGAGCTCGATGTCTTTCTCCAAACCACCGTCACGCAAAAGCGAGCACGTAATCTCCTCCGTGATGCTGACATGAACACTGAGGGAGAGTGTCAGTGATGGCCAACGGGCAGGCTAACAAAAAGTGCGATACCCGGCATGTTCCACTTCCGGAAGACTGCCTCTCTTGCTTGCCGGAGCCGCGGCGGGAATAGGAGCAGCAGCACCAACAGAAGGAGTGGGTGGTTCTGAAACCAGACCAACCGACGCGACATAGTCTCCACCCAAAGCATCGATTAGCTCGGCCTGCTTTGTTTTCTTGGAACCCAGCTTCATGCCCGAGCTCTTGAACGCAGGCGCTCGAGGAGCCGGAGCACTCGGAGTGACAGAAACAGAAGGGGTCGGAGAAGTGTACTGGGTAGGCACAGAGGAGTATCCGGTAATACCTCCCCCATAAGGGGAGGAATTGCCAAACCCACCAGAGTTGGCGGCCCGGCGCTGCTGTTGACGTTGAAGCTCGAGCTGTTTAGCGCGTCGCTTGAGCTCTTCCTTTGCCTCCATCTCTTTGTTCTGTGAAACGACAAATCATTGAGACATGTCCTAACATTGGAGACGGAAGTCCAACGCACCCGAGCGATGATCTCCTGGATCTTTTCCTCGTGACTCTCCATTTCCAAAGCGTTGCGGACCTGGACGAGCCCAACAGAGTTCTCTCGATAACCCAGCCCAACCACCTCATCAAATGCGCCCAGGATCTCGAAGGCGCGGGTGCCAACTTCGCTTTCGGTCGCGTTCCGACACATGTCTGACACGACGCGAGCCAGGAGGTGCAGGGTATCTATGTCTTGCAGGATGTTGGAGGCCTTGTTGGTTATAAGGAGAATATAGAGATCTTCCAATGGCTGATAGACGTAGCGGACGTCTGGTGTCTCTATGAGAGTGTGTTGTGTGCTCGACGGGGGCGGGAGAAGTTTCGGGAACGAGGCCAGGAGCGATTCAATGCGAGTGCGGGACATGTCCAGGAACTGGCGCGACAAAACCGCTGGGACGGCAGTCAGAAAATGGTGGTAGATGAACGCTACGCTCCTACCTTTGCCCCCTTTGGTGCATATCGAGGCAGCGAGAACGACCTTGATGGGCGCCGTTAGTTCTAGCTGAGATGAATCGATGCATACGGACGGACCATCCTTGGAACTCGGCACACAAGTTTTCTGAAGAGAGCTCTGGTGTTCGCGTGTCCACTGTCCGTGACAGTCAAGTCACACGTGACTCTAGGGTTCACGAGATTCCAAGGGAGTTCAACCCATGTACGGTCTCATTGGTGGGGTAATGTAAGGTATGTACTGGTATAAGATCATGCATTATGGTCATGGATGTTCGTGAGACAGTTTGAAAGACGACGTTTACTCAAAGGGCATATCACCGACCGCCTCGGCTAGCGATGTCCAGGTGTGCAGGACGTTCTCGGTGTATGCTTGTTCTTCCCGCGAGAGGGATTGGGCAACTTGACTAACCAGAGTGTTTTCCCGATTGTGCAATATGACACGCAGCTCGTGCCACAGACTTGTGTTGTGTTCAATAGACCGTACAAACAGGTGATGAAAAGCTCACCATGCCCGAATAAAGACTCTGCGGCTCAGTTGGGCAGCGATCGTGGCCTGATCTTTCTCGATTGCCGCGACGTACTTGTCGGCCTCCTCTTGCCAGCCGTCCTTCTGAGCAGCTTTCACAGCTTCCAATTTCGACGAAGCAGTGTCGACACGTTGCTTCAATCGCTCTACCTGGTCGATCGACAACCGGTCATTACGGATGAGCAGATCCTTGAGAGCCATGAATAGATCGCGTTGACTCTACGACTACGATGAGCCAAACCATACGAGAGCGAAGATGATGCCAACCTTGATGCTCTCGAGCGTGGTATCGAGTAAAGTACGGGTCTACAGCATACACTCAGCAGCAACACGGTACCATCGAGTTTAGGAAGACTCACGCGAAGCTCAGACAACTCAGAATAGCGTTGAGTGTGCGCAGCAATCTGTTGCAGGCCCAAGCGCACTCCAGCAGACAATTCGCAGTCGTCTCCTCGCCAACATTGTTCGTTGATTTCCGCAACCACTCGCAGAGTGTTGGTCAATCTGGCCATGTCTCCCTGTTCCGTGCCCACGTTCGAATGGATTCCGAAAAGAGTGTCCACATGAGAAATCGCGAAAAGAGAATTGAATGAAGGCACCGAAGATCCGGAGGATGTTGATAGGGCCGAAGACAAAGATGGAGTGGAGGAAAACATGGGCAAATTCAAATGAGCTTGCAGGGAACCCGGTCGGAAGGGAGGGGCTACTCGTACCGCTGCCGCTTCACGCCGTTTGATGATCCGCTCAGCCAAGATAGAAATCCTTTGCCATTGCTCAATGAGTGGGCCAATCCGTCGTCGAAGGATGCTGTGAAGCTGATCAATAATGAGCGTCGAACGAGAACTTATTGGCTGCTCACCCCAGTTTCTCCTCCAAATCACTAGGGATAGACATTTCCTCAGCTCGGTCAACACGTTTGCTAGCTGATTCCTCGTCTAGGGAGATTGGGGTACTCTTCCGCCATTGTTCGAAAGAAGGCTCCGTCAGGAAGGCTCCCAATAATGCGTCCTCCTGCGGCGAGCATCAGAAATTGCTTACGCGTACTGGATGTGATTAGGGAAAAGACCTTGATGACAGGATGGTTTCTGGCTCAAATCAATGAGCGACGAAGACTGCGAAAACGAGAACGAACGCACATGACAAAGTTGAGAGAACGAGTCAGTCCTCGCCTGCAAACAAAGGGATTAGTCGCTTTAAATCAGGACAGCAGAAAGTTTACCTTCGTTGCTCCAGGAATGCCTCGTCACCTAGAAGCCCTCAGATCCCCAAATGGAGCAGAAGCATAATAAACTCACCGCCTATGCGCTTAGGCGGTAGAGCGGGGAAGAGACGAAAGGGATACCGCCGTAATAAGCATTCCCAAACAAAAACGAATTCGGAGTATCTTCTCGTTACTGGGGATCCGCGCTGTAGAGACAAAATTGGCAAGCGTTAGGGTGCAGTTGTGAGAGAGCCACACCGAGGATGATATCTCATAGACCATGAATCGATTCAATATGAATCCCTGGGCGCCCAGCAGCGTTACATTGACCATGTCCTGTTTCGACCACCAGCTGGAGGGAAGACCTGTTCCGATAGTCGACGATGTTCCGTTGCTCTGGGAAGGTTCCAATCCGTTATTTGTTACCATCCCTGGTACGCGAGAGTTGGTATTCCAGGGGTCGTCTGCCGCATACATGGGGGCGGGTGCTCGAATTCCTGCGGGCAAACTGTTCTGTCTTTGGTTGATGGGTGCAGCGAAGGTGGAGTTGGATGGTGGAAGCTTCGTCAAATCCAGCATAGGCTCGGGCAGAGTGCTTTGTGACGACAACGATGCGACCTGTTCAATGCTGACGTCTGGATGCACGGATGAAAGGTGGATATAACAAGCGACTAAGCAAGGAGAACTCACCTTTTCCAGCCTGAGCGAGGGCAACCAGAGCAATTGCGACGAAAAACTCGAGCTTGGAGACGCGCGGCTTATTGCTCACAAGATTGACGATCTGATAGAATAACAGTCCGTGAGCAGTGGCGAGAGGATTCTGATGATACCGACTTTGTCTATCGTGGATGCAGGAAGGGACGATGTACCCAGCACGCGGGATAAAGAGTTGACAGATGTTTCGCCGGTGTTACTCGGATCGACGAGCAGAAAAGCCTGGTCGTAGATGGCAGGAACAGTAGCGTCCGCTTTACACCACAGCTCAGAGTACAAAAAGCAGCGACCGTTCGTACGACGTACCGAGGACTGAACTGAAGATCGAATTCCCGCTGGAAGGTGCAGGTGTCGCTGAAGGG